TATAAGCCGAAAGCTAAAGAGGTTAATATATAGACAAAATAGTCAAAAGAAGAAGAAGAAGAAGGAAAAGAAGAAGAAAGATGAATCTTTATTGGAACATGTATAGATTAGATGTGTATATACTTGATATGTAAGATTGAATGATTATGCATTTGATGTCTTCTTATTCTCAAACCCTTTTTCCATCCCCCCCACTGCCCTTTGCCTTTTGTATTCCTTCCCCATCACCCAATAGTTTTAAAAATAAAATAAAAAAAAAAAGAAGGAAGCAGCTTTCTCTACATCTCCCACAGGCAACAGTTTCAAAATCAGAGACAGGAAAAGTCAGCTTCTTGGACAGCAGATTTGGATGATCATGTGCTAGCTGAGGTTTTCTGGGAATTGTAGTCCAAAAAAACACAATAATATAATCTCTCCTTCAGATATTCCCCTTCTACCCAGCCTATAGAATAAAAGTGCAGTTGCCTTATGGTAGAGCATAGGAAACATCGTTATACGGTGCATATTATTTTCTAAAAAAACACATCGTTATGCGAATTCATCGCTAAACGAGGCAATCGTTAAGCGAGGCACCACTGTATTTATACCCCGCCTATCTAGTCATTTTGACCACTCTAGGCGGCCTACAACATATTTGTTACATTTGGTTATTAATGATTTTATAATCTCATATTTCCCTCATAGTATCTTCTAATTCAAACTTGCAAAATGTTAATAAAATGAAAAATAATAGTAAGATTGTACACCAAACCCCCTCTAGTCTCATAGCTGGTTTTTAAACATCTATTTTTAGCTTTATCAAATACTTTCAAAGGACTAAATGCTCTGATTCTTCCTTTCTAATCCTATTAAGTCTGCAATATTTCCCTACTAATAACAATGGATGTTATAATCACATTTCTTTTTTAAAGTAATAAACTAATACTTAAACATTTCCAAATATTTGGCTTTAAAGAGCATAAAAGAAAGTTATAAAGGTTGGCTCTAAGAACTTGGGAGAGTTTGGGCCTAGAGGGACTATTTTAATATGGAAACGGCTGCTATACAGATACATACATAATTTAATGCATTAAAAGGAGCACAATCTTCAACAGACAAGGAGCACCTTACTGCAGAACCCAAGGCCTTTTAAATTTAAAGAGAAAATGATGTATTTGTGCCCTTGGTCCATATCTCTGGTCAGCCATTTTACATATTGTTGCTAGGAGAAGCATTTTAGGTTAATTTTTATAAGCCAGTCCAAGAGCCCACAGTTATCACCGTTACCTCTTTCTTTCTTTCTTTCTTAAATCATTCTTGTACTTCCTCATTTGGGATAATTTCCCCAATACTATCTTCTCAGGAAATGGCTATAAAGATTGAAAAATTATAAAGAAATAATATTTTATGGTCACAACGATTGCCTTCTTACTATCTCTTCTCAGTCACTCCTCAGATCTGGCTCCCCCATTACTTTGGGCATTAATACATTATGGGATACAACAAAATCTTTTCACAAAACTTGATAGAAGGAAAGAAGGTAGCTAGACCATAAAATGAAGAATAGATTTTACTAGAATAATTTTATCCCTATTCTTGCTGCTGAGGATGGTCATCATGCATATACAAAAGTATTACTTAGGACTGTCGCAAATCATACTTTCAGGCTATTTGGCCCTCACTGTTTTATCTTATATCTTTGGTATCCATATGTATGTACATCTGTGGACATGGGAGTGGAAGGCGGGGGAGAGAGAGAACAAAAATAATATTTCAGCATAGCCTGGCTCTAACCATGGCCATTTTGGAGATGCTCCTGAAAAAAGTACTAGAAGTGGTGAGTTGTGATTTCTACTGGCGACTGAGGCCACTACTATTTTAACAATTCCTAGTGGCCCAAAATAGCATGGCCCCCTGTTTCTCTCTTTTTCTTTCCCCGACATGCAATTGCAAATAATGGATTTCAGTACAGATTTTGAGGAGATGGCAAGAATAAACAATGATTTTGAGGACATGACAAGAATAAACAGGAGATGTCAAGAATAAACATAGACATCCTGGGCATCAGTGAACTAAAATGGATGGGAATGGGCGAATTCAGTTCAGACAATTATCGTTTCTACTGTTGTGAACAAGAAGCCCATAGAAGAAATGGAGTAGCCCTCGTACTCAACAAAACAGTGGGAAAAGCTCTACTGGGATACAAACTCAAAAATGATAAAATGATTTCAGTACGACTCCGGGGCAGATCTTTCAACATCAGAGTAATCCAAGTTTATGCACCAACCACCGATGCTGAAGAGGCTGAAATTGACCAGTTCTATGAAGACTTACAACACCTTCTAGAACTGACACCAAAGAAAGATGTTCTTCTCATTATAGGGGACTGGAATGCTAAAGTAGGGAGTCAAGAGATAAAAGGAACAACAGGGAAGTTTGGCCTTGGAGTTCAAAACGAAGCAGGGCAAAAGCTAATAGAGTTTTGTCAGGGAGAACAAGCTGGTAACTACAAACACTCTTTTCCAGTGACACAAGAGGCAACTCTACACATGGACATCACCAGATTGGCAATACCGAAATCAGATTGATTATATTCTCTGCAGCCAAAGATGAAGAAGCTCTATATAGTCAGCAAAAACAAGTCCAGGAGCTGGTTGCAGCTCTGATCATCAGCTTCTTATACCAAACTCAAGCTTAAACTGAAGAAAGTAGGAAAAACCACGGGGCTACTCAGGTATAATCTAAACCAAATCCCTTATGAATACACAGTGGAAGTGAAGAACAGATTTAAGGAACTAGATTTGGTGGACAAAATGCCTGAAGAACTGTGGATGGAGGTTTGTAACATTGTACAAAAGGCAGCAACAAAAATCATCCCAAAGAAAAGGAAATGCAAGAAAGCAAAGTAGCTGTCCAACAAGGCCTTACAAATAGCAGAAAAGAGAAGGGAAACAAAATGTAAGGGAGATAGGAAAAGTTACAGAAAACTGAATACAGACTTCCAAAGAATAGCAAGGAGAGACAAGAGGGCCTTCTTAAATGAACATTGACAAGAAATAGAGGAAAATAATAGAAAGGGAAAAACTAGAGATCTGTGCAAGAAAATTGGAGATGTTAAAGGAACATTTTGTGCAAAGATGGACATAATAAAGGACAAAAAATGGTAGGGACCTAACAGAAAAAGAAGACAGCAAGAAGAGGTGGCAAGAATATACAGAAGAATTATACCAGAAAGATTTGGATATCCCAGACAACCCAGATAGTGTGGTTGCCTCTTTGGATGCCTCTTCAGCATTCGTGGTTGGTGCATAAATTTGGATTACTGTGATGTTGAAAGGTCTGCCTTGGATTCGTATTGAAATCATTCTGTCATTTTTGAGATTGTATCCCAGTACAGCTTTTCCCACTCTTTTGTTGACTATGAGGGCTATTCTACTTCTTCTATGGGATTCTTGCCCACAGTAGTAGATATGATAATCATCTGAATTTAATTTGCCCATTCCCATCCATTTTAGTTCACTGATGCCCAGGATGTCAATGTTGATTCTTGCCATCTCCAAGGTTCTTACATTCCAGCTTCCTATGCAGTATTTTATTTTGCAGTATCAGACTTTTCTTTCACTTCCAGGCATGTCCACAGCTGAGCATCCTATCAGCTTTGGACCAACCACTTCATTAGCTCTGGAGCTACTTGTATTTGTTCTCCGCTCTTCCTCAGTAGCATGTTGGACGCCTTCCGATCTGAGGGGCTCATCTTCCAGTGTCATATCTTTTAACCTTTTATTTCAGTCCATGGAGTTTTCTTGGCCAAGATACTGGAGTGGCTTGCCAGTTCCTGCTCCAGGTGGATCATGTTTAGTCAGAACTCTCCACTATGACCTGTCCGCTTTGGGTGTCCCTGCACAGCATAGCCCATAGCTTCTCTGAATTACTCAAGCCCCTTCACAACAAGGCAGCAATCCTTGAAGAGGACACACTGTATTACTTGTCTCAATTGTCAGGGTGAATTATGCCCCTTTTGCTTCAGCATGAATTCCGGTATTTATTAAGAAATCTGAAGTTCACTTATTTTTGTAGGAGTGAGTCCGTCCCTTTTGGAGTAAGAAACTTTCTTTTACCAATCAGGCAATCTGAAGATCCTTGCCCTCATGATAATGTAGGGTATCAGATTACCCGAATCAGGAAAGGAGATGTAAAACATAAAAGGATATTAAAGTACCACTCAACTCCTGTAAAACTAAGAAACAAATCTGGTAATCTGCCCCGATGAATTGAAAAAGAGGCTTCCCAGAAGAAAAGTTATTCGGATGAAATTTAAAAGCTGCCTAGCTAGCCTTTGGTTATGTAAGGAAATGAAAAGTGAACAGCTACAGTGACATTTTGTTTCTAGGTAGCACAGAGTAGCGATGACTCATGCCTCATTGCTATGCCAGAGTACCTTTTTGGCATGAGCCTTCCCTGAAGTGAAAAGAAATGTAGCACAAACACACACTGGCAAGTTTTCCAATGAAAGGACGAACGGCAGTGCCATAAGATGTAATTGCAGCAGGAGGAAAAAAACTACAGCAAAAATGTCCAATCTAATCAGAATTTTGGGGGTCTCCTGATTTTGTTTTACTCTTGCCTTGCAAAAAAGGTTTAATAGTAAAATCTATATTCAGACCCATTTGTGTAATTGCTGAGAAGCTTGAACCATGAACTTTGGAATTTAACTACCAGCCTGAGATATATAATCAGCAATATAAGAAACTTTGAGACAGAATATAATAATCTAGAAGACCGGAGATTGATGGTGAGTCCATAATATGTAGCTTTCTCTGATGTCATGTGATAGAAACAGATGCTGCCTTAGTTG